GTCCTATTAAAAACAACCTAAATCATGCCACATGCAACATCTTGTATAGCCGAAAATAATTTTTGGTGATAGACCACTTAATTCTAGAGAACTCCTTTTTCTTATGACACAATATCCATGTTTCGTGAACGGTGGTAGAGTGAAACACCCTGCATGTTTAGAAGTTTAAATCTAAACTCAAATGTATGTCAATATTTGTCTTTAAAGTTTGTTAAGACATACTATACATTTCTCTTGCAAGGATTGGAAAATCATATAGTATAAATAACTAAATCTGTGTAGAATTGCAATTGTACTCTTATAATACGTTTTGCAACACCATAAATAAAATACAGAGTGGTCCAAAAGTCTGAAAACGGAGATTCCATATTTGATATTTGCAATCTTGCCAGATTTTCCGTTTATCTTATATTATTAGTAACTTTGGTTTTTCAAATTCATCGCCCTGTATATTCAGTCATTATTGGAATCTCCTATTCAATACGAATTCAACCATATGTAACACTTATGATTTTATATAGTCCGGAAGGTCTTAAATACATAAAACAAAAGTCTGACAACGCCTAATTGTTTCTATAAATTTTTTAATACTATTTTTTAACTACATTAAAACGTAACAATTGATAGATTACAACATTTTTAATATAATAGTTACTTTATCAAGTGTTCAAAATGTGCTCCATTTGTGAGTTGACAGTACCTTAATCGATGGTAGAATGCGTCTACCACATTTCTCAATGATTGTCTATAAATTATTCGAGATTCTTCGATAAATCGTTGCGTTAGCTCGGCAAGACTTGCTGGTTTAGTTTTGTAAACTGAATTTTTCAAGTATCCCCAATAAAAATAATCTTTAGGATTGAAATCAGGTAAACGTGGAGGCCATTCAATTCTACCTCGTCTACAATCCATCGTCCGGGAAATATCTCATCTAAATAACGCCGACCATTTACACCAAAATGAGCTGGAGCTTCATCTTGCTGAAACCATATCTGATTAAAATTGGCCCCAAACAAGTTTCTCGGTGTAGGTACAATTTCATTTCTAAGTAACATTTCGTAACTATCTGACGTATAATTTTGGTGGTCTTTGAGTATGGTTTTTGCGCTACCAGTGTGGATTTACGTCACTCCAGTACCTTAAATTGTATCGATTTACACTTCCACACAGTGTAAATGTTGCTTCATCGGAAAAACATATTCTGTTAACGAAATTCTCATCATTTTCAATTTTATCCATCATTACCTCAGTAAACTCTAATCTACGATCGAAGTCATCTTCACTTAATTCTTACAATAAGTTAATTTTGTATGGTTCAAATTTATTCTTACCTAATACGTAAGACTGAAGAACGACCTATATCATGTACTTGTACAATCCTGAGTGAGGATGTAGGTGGATCTTCAACAAAACTTTTCATTATATCTAAAGTTTTATTGTTATTCATAACTCTTCTTCTGTCTACCTGATCGGTATCTATCTTTTACTTCTCCAGATTCCTCAAATCGCTTTACAGTTTTTTATACCATCGCCTTATGAATAGGAGAACGGTTTGGGAAAGTATCATTGAACAAGTTGGCTATAGCAAAGCGTTCTTTTTCGTTAAGAACCATTTTAGAGAAGAAATTTATCTTGCAGAACTTTTCGAAACACAACTACTGTCAATTTTAGTTAATAATGTAAATGGTGAACAAATGTCAAAATCACAGCATTCGACATTTAAATATTTAAATTTATTAAAATCTACATATTTTGCACTGTTGTATGTATTTAAGACTTTCCAGACTACCCATCTACTACTACAGAAATCATAAGCGTTACATATGGTTAAACTCGTATTGAATATAAGATTCCAAGAATGACTGAATATACAGGGTGATGAATTTGAAAAACCAAAGTTACTAATAATATAAGAGAAATGACAAATCTGGCAACATTGCAAATATCAAATATGGAATCTCCGTATCCCAAAATAGGTGTACCTCAAATTTTGTACAATTATGTCTAGCAATTTACGAGATAATTGGCCGTTTCCAGATTTTTGGGCCACTCTGTATATGCACAATTCAGAATAGGTCATGAATATCCATGTCTAAATGTTCTGGACCATATTTTAACTTAGGCATAAAAAAAATTAAAATTATTCACCATAAGTTTACTAGTTGGTACAAATCAGTAATAAATTAGATAGAATAAATTTCCTAGCAATACTATATTGTATATTTAAAGTAACTTAACATGCAATATCATCTGAAACTCAACATTGCATTATATGAACATATATTAACAATGAGTTTTTGCGTTTTGCATATTGATGGATTAAAAGTCTTAATGGCCCGTTAACGACTGGAACTACTTGAAATTGCATTTCAACCGAAAACGATTTAACTAATGGTTAATTCCAATAAATAAGATTATAATTCAGACTTTACACATCACATTAACATGAAAGGATAATAATAATATTTTATCCGGAATTAAACTATTTATTTATACTACTTATTTATTACTTCACATTTGCTTTATTATATTATACTTATACCACAGTTGCTACAATATGAGTGTTTCTACAAAGGAATTTTTAAAAATATTTATTCTAAATCTCATGAATATAGTATGTTCCGTTAAGATTCAAGTACTCTGTAGAATTAATAGCAGTATGCCATGTTTTTATTGATTATAGAGTATCACAAAAATAACCTATTCATTTTTATTCCTAGGGTTCAGTGTCAGGTTCCGTCCAAGCCACTGATCGTCTTATGAAAGAATTGCGTGACATATACCGTTCAGACTCTTTCAAAAATAAAATGTACCAGATCGAGTTAGTTAGCGATTCACTCTATGAATGGAACGTTAGATTGATGTGCGTAGATCCAGACAGTCCTCTCAGCCATGATCTCCAGATGCTCAAAGAAAAAGAGGGCAAAGATGCAATTCAGCTCAACATGTTATTCAAAGACACTTATCCGTTTGAACCACCTTTTGTCAGAGTTGTACATCCAATTATCTCTGGTAAGCAAAAATAATCCTTATATGTTGTTTCTTAAGATATTTTTTGAGAAATTTTATTTGATATTTGAAACGTCCAATTATGGACAATTCTTATTAAGTGAAAGGTGTATTACAGACATTTTGTCTAACCATGTGGTTCCCATTGCACCTTACATAGCAAATATTTTTTTAATGCATGATAATGCACGACTACATGTTGAATGTATCCGTGATTATTGGGGCAAGGTTGCTATACAAACCATAAACTGGCCATCCTGCCGATCTTCAACTCAGGAACCGATAAACAAAACCTATCTCTCTTGACGACGTAGACGTTATGGTGAGAGAAGTTTATTATGAAATTGATCAAGCCTAAATACGACGCTTGTTTGATTGTTCTTATGTATCTCTCACTGTGCATAAGTAATTGGAAATAGAGGCGGAAATATTCGTTATTCAGTGTTTTTGAGAGAGGGAACTTCTTAAAGATTATTTAGCTTATGTTTTCATAGGCTTTAGCCAATAAAGTTTATGTAAGTAGTGTTTTTTGCTTCCATTTTCTTTAAATGTCCACAATAACTTGTTAAATTTAAAGTTTCGTATAAAATAGAGATATCGAGAGATTTTTTTACGAAAATATTGATAAACCTATATTAACAAGATTTAACAGGTGTTGCAATATTCAAATGTGAAAAAAAATTATCGAAATCCAATCAACGGTTCAGAAGAAAAATAGCTTCATACCTAAGCTACATTTATGGTGGGGCGTTAATTTTGAAGAGTAGTATGTAATGCAGAAACTATATCAGAAACAACAGAAATTAAGCTATTTCTTAGAATAGCAAATAGGACTTAAAGAGAAAGAAGTGAAAGTTAAAACACACATGCAATGTCGAAGATAATACGTGGGTTGCCGCAATTTTGTGCGCGCTGGTATCTCTGTCTATCACATCAATGTGAGCCTTGAGCCAACTCTCGTTACTGTGTGGTCACGAACCTTTGAACATTTTGCAGTGGCGGCGTACATTGAAAATGCGTCCAAATGAGAAGTACATTGCATAGCTTTGTGCCCTCCAAAATGAATTGGCAGGACCCTGGTCTACCTGGCCTTTCGGCATACGGCCGTTAGCGCTCCCACTGCCCCTACGAGTCCGACACCAATTGGAGGTGGCACGATGCCGAAACATCGTGGGACTTCACCTCCCCCGTAGTACCTGTGTTGCGGGTCACGCCACCCTTCCGTGAATCCTCCCCCGGAGGCGGAAAGGCACGCAGGTGGTGGAATACTACCTCGCACGTAGACAGGTCGCCGCCGAGGAATCACTCCTCTACCACTCGTTAAATCATTCCGAGGTGTGGTACGTGCCGGGTCACCCGCTCCCCTTCCGCGGTGTCAGCTTCCGGGGAGCCTCCGTACCTGGCTCGTTCAACCACACCCGACTCTTGTGGAAAATGAGAGTAGAGTGGTCCCACGAGGTGCTCGTCTCGGATACTAGGAATGTAGACCGGTGACTGAGATGACTAAGCATCTCTGTGCGTTTCTACCAACCAGACACCTCAAACGACTGCCCTCCACCTCTCACATCCGCCCATTAGTCGCCTCTTACGACAGGCAGGGTCTTCTGGCCCCGGCCGTATTCATATCTCCTCGAGCCGGAAGGAGAATGAGAAGTACAGAGTGTGATTCGATTTTTAAATATAATAATTTAATTTGCGTAGAATTTTTACCTAAGGGTGAAACAATAAATTCAGAGGCCTATTGCGAAACCCTTCAAAGACGAAAACTTGCAATACAGAATAAAAGACGTGGCATGTCACCGAATATGTTTCTTATTCACGATAATGCTCAGCCCCATGCATCGGTAAGAACTCAGCAAGGACTTCAACGTCTACTACTGGTAAATTTTCGAGCCCCTCAACCCAGACCTCGCGCCATCCTATTATCATTTGTTCCCGGAAGGAATTCTTGAGTATAAAGGAGTTTGGAAACGACGAAGAGCTCAAAGATACAATGATATCCTGGCTCAATCATTTGGCGGTAGAGAACTTCAATCCTCCTCCTCGTCAGTACTAATCCCTTTTGGGACGTGGTGACTCCATCAGGCATTCACAGTTTTTTTAGGATTTTCCTCCATCCTTCTCTGTCCTAGGCTAGTTGTTCGGCTTCATGTAACCCTTGGTTAATCAATGTTTTTGTTTGATCTACCCAACGGCTTGGAGATCGTCTCCTAGGTCTTTTTCCTTCAACTCTACCCTCGACTATCAGTTTTTCCATCGTGCCTGTTCTTCCAGCAATGTGTCCAAAAGAACTTCAATGAACTTCCAACTTCCAAAAGAACTTCCAATGTGTCCTACAGAACTTCAATACCGGAATCGAAAAACTGATTCCACGATACAATAAATCCCTTGACAACCAATGTCATTACATTGAAAAATATCCTAAGGTACTGTGACTGTAAATAAAATCTCGTGATGAATTTTTTTTTTTTTTTTCATTTTTTATGCCAAAATGTTCTTTAGTTTCTGGACGACCATTGTAATTGGATTATACGAGAGAGAAAAAACACTATTAGGTTGAACGAAGGAAGAGTGGTGAGAGTTGCCTGGGATAAATCGCTAGTAGGACATCAGAGCGTTGACGTTCTCGAAAAAGATAGAGCGATGACCTAAGCATGAATGGGTAGATGTATGAAGATGTAACAGGTAATTTGCCAAAAATCACAAAGAAAGAAAAATTTTTTTCTACTCTCAACTTTTCTAGAAAAAATTGTCGTGCTGATCATATTTATGGTAAACATGCAGGTAATAAATATAGGTAAATATGTACATAGGCAGATAGTACAAAATGTATGAAAGGTGTAACTTGGTAGGATAGAAGATTATCATTCAATTATTCTAATTAAGGCAGCCAATGACGCAAGGACCCACTCGCACAAATATGCTCGCGTCCCAAAAAAATTTTTTAAACTTGTCAACCCATGAAATACACTTGAGTGCAAACAAATCGACTCACAATTATTTTGCAAATGTACGACTCTCGGTTTCAATCTAACAAGTGTAAATTTAAAAATATTAAGTGTACAATTATTAACCTATGGAGTATGAAAAAAAATATATTGAGTATTACAAATAAATAATGCAACACGTAGAGAGGGAATCAGAATTTGACTCATTGTAATCGACACGCACCGACTTACGCGTTCGGTTAACATCGTAAGCATCAATTTCCATAGCAACCCACTAATACATCAGTTACTTAAATTTACCTGCGTCACAAATGGATAACACATTCCTCAAAGCAGCGCAAGCAGTAACATTATTGAGAGAAGGTCTGAGCCAGAGGGCCGTGGCAAATCGACTAAATTTAAGCCAATCTGGTGTGTCCCGAGTGTATCGTCGGTACCATGATACGAGTGACTATGTCCGCCGACAAGTAGAAGGTGGTAAACGAATAACAACGAAAAGAAATGATCGATTTCTTGTATCTAAATGTCTAAGACATCGACATTTGACTGGTGCTAATCTCAAAGACGAGCTTAGAGAGGTCCGAGATGTGGTTACCAGCGTTTGGGCAGTCACAAGGAGACTGAAAGCAACCAACCTGACACCAAAAAGGGCAGCTACGGGTCCCAAGGTAACTCTATCAATGGAGTCAGGTATTATTCTCCGACGAAAGTAGGTTCTGCCGACACGGCAACGACAAGAGACTATATAAGGCCAGGAGAGCGATTTTCTCAATGTTTTATACGAAAAATTGTGTCATATAGAGGCGGTTCTTGTATGTTTTGGGCAGGCATATCCATGGATGAGAAAACCGAGTTGTTTTTCGTGCCTGGTGGATGACGTGGAGGAGGTTTAACGGCGGATCGTTACATCAGAGACATTTTGGAGGAACATTTGGTTCCATACGCGGGATTTATTGGTGATGCTTTTATTTTATTGCATGATAATGCCGCACGAGTCACCACCACCTATCTGACTAATATCGGTATACCTACAATAAATTGGTCTGCGTTGAGGCCGGACATAAATCCAATAAAGCATATTTGGGATGAGCTTAAACAAAGGGTCCATCAAGAATTTATTAGAAAAGTCATTCGATCCATTCGAAATCGATTGGAAAGTTAATTAAGAATGGAGAGTGGTAATATCTAATACTGAAAAATAAAAAAATTCATTTTAATTGATGATTTCTCTGTTCATAACGTCTTTCTTGGGTTACTTCCAATGATGAATATTTAGGAAACTCTGTTCGTATTGCATATTGTTTTTATAATGCGTCTTCCAAATAATGCAATAGCAGTTTTTGTAAGTTCATAATAAAGTTATTGTTTGCGCATTACATCTTGTTATTTTTGTACTTCTTACATTAAAACAGAAGGTGTAATCTCAAATATCGCTTTTGAGTCGAATATTTTGCACTCAAGTGTAGTATATTTATAACATATTAAAAATCATTAAATATCATATTAAATTTTTAGGTGGTTATGTCTTAGTTGGAGGTGCCATTTGCATGGAACTTTTAACAAAACAAGGCTGGTCAAGTGCTTATACAGTAGAAGCTGTGATAATGCAGATCTCGGCTACCTTAGTGAAAGGCAAAGCTCGCATCCAATTCGGTACACCAAAAGTCTGCTCACAGGGACAGTACAGTCTAGCACGTGCCCAGCAGAGTTTCAAATCACTTGTACAAATCCACGAGAAAAATGGTTAGTATGTATTTGGAATATTTGTAACTCTGCGTTTAAATATTGTATCGAGAATATTCTCGAATTTACAGCTTGATTCTAGGTAGCTCGTAACCACAATGCAATCAATTTCAAATCGTTTTATTTATTTTATGAAATAATAAATGACATTGGCATTAATGTCAATATATATATATATATATATATATATATATATATATATATATATTATATATATATATATATATATATATTATATATATATATATATATATATATATATATATAGGAAAAAGGAGTACGACCGTCAATCCAATATATATATAAGGATCACTCAGACGAGTGGTGGGTTCTTATATCGGTCTCTAGGTGGAGAAATAAAAGACAAAGTTGATAGGCTACTTTATCTATTTTGAAGACGTTTCGCTTTCGAGTTTTGAAAGCATCATCAGTTCATCTAAAAAATTATTACAATATGAGAACCACACAATCATGGAAACGATGTTAATTGTTACCTTAAAAAGATATGTAGCAGTCAATGTTATTAACAAATATGTGAATGAAACTAAGTAAATGGACATAGTACGCTGATCTTGTATAAACAGTTAAGCAACTAACAACATATATGAACTTGTACAAAAATTAGCACAGCAATTGACCATGTGGTCCAAAATAAATTCAATGTTATTTATATTAATAAGTGAGGAAGAACCAAGAAAATCATAAATAACCTCCAACTATTTAATGGATATTAAACTTTGATTTTAACTTTAGGTAGCATTATAAGTAATATTAATAAAATTCTACAAAATAGTGAATATGAAGTTACCGATCAAAGCCTTGTGGATGTCGCCGTGAAAATGGCGTTAGATGAAACAGGAACGAACTAACCGCAAAAAGACAGCCAACCTTGAGGTCAAAATTACTTTTGACAGATCAACAAGGTGTAAATACCAACCCAGAAAACATCCTAATGCATTGAATAAGAGAACTGACATAAGTAACTTGAGCCAGATATATCATGCTTTAATTTTGCAGAATTAGGCTACTTAATCTTTTCACTACATTAATGTCATATTAGGTGTACTAGTTGAACTTTTTTTTCCACTTTTCATAAAATAATTTACATACATAAATAGAAATAAAATAAATAAATATATCAATTAAATAACTTAATTTCTTTACTTAATTTTACTATTACATATGCAACCCATATTGCATTTCATTATACTAAATTCTTTGATTAGAGTTTTTAAATTACATATAAAATAATACAAACATTGTAATTGATTCATAGAATCCTTTACAAATCACAGCTCCAAGTATATTGAACCTTGGGCTGTATGGAAATTATAATATCGTTAATCACCTGACTATTTAACTTGCCACATGATTAACGTCATTACATTATTATGAGTTTGAATGCAAATCTCCGGTTTGTAAATTTGGGCCGGTTAGTGAGGGGAGTTGTGTGTACACTACCAACTTTTTTCACTGTTGTTGTCCTTTACAACCTGGAAGTCATCCAGACTCAGTTATAAAATATAAAAATTAAATTAACCGCCCAAAATTCTGGGTTGGTATTTACACCTTGTTGATCTGTCAAAAGTAATTTTGACCTCAAGGTTGGCTGTCTTTTTGCGGTTAGTTCGTTCCTGTTTCATCTAACGCCATTTTCACGGCGACATCCACAAGGCTTTGATCGGTAACTTCATATTCACTATTTTGTAGAATTTTATTAATATTACTTATAATGCTACCTAAAGTTAAAATCAAAGTTTAATATCCATTAAATAGTTGGAGGTTATTTATGATTTTCTTGGTTCTTCCTCACTTATTAATATAAATAACATTGAATTTATTTTGGACCACATGGTCAATTGCTGTGCTAATTTTTGTACAAGTTCATATATGTTGTTAGTTGCTTAACTGTTTATACAAGATCAGCGTACTATGTCCATTTACTTAGTTTCATTCACATATTTGTTAATAACATTGACTGCTACATATCTTTTTAAGGTAACAATTAACATCGTTTCCATGATTGTGTGGTTCTCATATTGTAATAATTTTTTAGATGAACTGATGATGCTTTCAAAACTCGAAAGCGAAACGTCTTCAAAATAGATAAAGTAGCCTATCAACTTTGTCTTTTATTTCTCCACCTAGAGACCGATATAAGAACCCACCACTCGTCTGAGTGATCCTTATATATATATATATATATGTATATGTATATACATTGACTCTGCGAGTTATTAGCAATTATTATAGAATTTTTTAAAAATCTTTGAAATTTAATTTTTTCTAATGGAAATTAATCTTAAGACACTGCTGTTTGGGTATCGATCTTCGGTCCACTTCAAAATTCGTGCTATTAAAATTGATAACGTTGCTTAGCGGCGACTAGGTAGGCCCTGCTAAGAGCAGATTGTATCGTAAATTTCAATTTTAACTTGGAATCTATCTAATTAGCCTTCCCGGTCCATCTTTGGACATAGGCCTCCCCAATCCTTTTCCATTCTTCTCTGTCTGTCGCTACAGTCATCCACCTAGAGCCCACTTGCTTCTCGATATCATCTGCCCATCTCATTTGGGGCCATCCTCTGCTTCGTTTATATTCCCACGGTCTTCAACTTATAAGAATTTTGTTCCATCGGTCTTCTTTTTGTCTTATATTGTGTCCGGCAAATCTCCATTTCAATTTTGCAACTTCCTGTCTAACATCCCTTACTTTTGTTTTCTCTCTTATCCGCTCATTTCTCTTTTTATCCATTAGTCTTATGCGCAACATTTGTCTTTCCATTGCTCTTTGGGTTTTTATGATTTTGTCCATGTTTGCTTTTGTAAATGTCCATGTTTGGGAACCATAAGTGAGAACAGGGAGTACGCATTGATTGTGTACTCTGGTCTTAATATGCTGTGGATATCTTTTGTTTTTAAGAATGTAGCTTAGTTTTCCAAATGCCAGTGCCCATGCCAGTCTAACTCATCTTTTTATCTCTGCTATTTGGTTTTCTTTGTTAAGTTTTATAGTTTAACCCATTGGGATGTCTTCATCTGTATTTGTTATGATTTTGGTCTTGCTGTAATTCATATTAAGGCCTATCTTTCCAGCTTCTACGTCCAGTTCTTTCATCATTTCAAACAATTCTTTTTTATTGGTTATCAGTACGATGTCATCAGCGTACCTTAGATGGTTTAAACGTTGTCTACAAATTTTTATACCTTCTTCTTCCTATTCTAATATTTTAAAAATATCTTCCAGAGCCTGATTGAAAAGTTTCGGTGATATTTATTTGTATTGATTTTGTTCCTTCATATACTTTAATTTAATTGTTGTTTTGGCTTCCTTATGTATATTGTCTATTAGTTCCATATATCTGTGGTCAATTCTGTTGTTAATCAAAGAACTTTTCACTGCCCAATGTTCGACACTGTCGAAAGCCTTTTCGGAATTTATGAACGCTATATATAGAGGAAAGTGGTATTCATTTGCACGTTCTATAAGTATTTTCATACGTAGTAAATGTTATCCTTGTGCTGAATCCCTTTCTAAAACATGCTTGTTCTTTCGACTGGTATCCGTCGAACTTTGTCGTCAATCTATTGGTTAAAATTTTTGTTAGGAGTTTATATATTACATTGAGGAGTGTTATAGGACGGTAGTTTTTTATATCTGCTTTATCTCCTTTCTTGTGTAGGGTAATGGTTACTGATTCCTCCCAGTTGTTTAGGATTCTTTTTTCTTTTAATATCTTGGTAAAAAGGGAATCTCCAGTATTAATTATCACTTTTCCACCATATTTCAGCATCTCTGCAGTTATTCCATCTTTTCCAGGCGATTTGTTGTTTTTTATTTCTGTCAATGCCTTATTTATTTCTGATTTACTTATTTCTGGCTGTAGCTCTGAGTTGATAAATTTTCACTTTTAGCCTTAAGTTGGTTTTTAATTTCTTCTGGTGATTCCTTTTTTGTTTTATATAATTCTGAGTAGAAATGGTGGATTATATTTGTGATATCATCTTTTTATTGTTTGTTTCTACTCCGTTTACATCTTTTATTTTGTTTATTTCAACTTAACTAATTTCGGTCTTAAGCATTTCATATTTTTGTTGTTCTGTATTATTTCTTTTATTTTTATTTCTTGTTCTTTTCTCTTATTTTCTTTTATCATTCTGGTTATTGTTTTATTGATTTCTACATAATCTATAAATTTCCTTTTGCTTTCTTTTTTAATAATATAGATAAATAGTTGTTCTTTTTTAGATCTTTTTTTTTTGCTATTTCTTTTCCTAATGTAATCATCGTTGCTGTAAGCATGTTGTCTATTTCGTCTATATCTTTATCATCACTGTCTAATTTTTGGGTAAGTTGTTCTTTTAATAGGTCTTTGTATATCTCTTTATATTGCCCTAGTTTGTTTCTATCTACTAGATCCCAGTTTCTAATTATTTTTCTTTCCATTTCATAATTACCATCCAGTTTTTTGTGCATCCATTAGGGCTGATCCATGTCCATTGTCGTTGGGGCTTCTTTTGGTAAAAGAAGTTCATTGCGTATAGATGATTTTCTTCCAGGTAGTTCATTAAAGTAGCACCTCTATCATTTTTCTGATACCCGAAATCTCCCATTTTAGTTTCTTCTTTGTTTAGTTTTCTACCCAGTTTGGCATTGAAATCTCCAATTACTAGTGTAAGACGATTTTTATGTTCTTCCATAACCTTTGATATATCTTCATAAAATAGTTCGATATCTTCATCATAAGCTGCCGTGGGGGCATATACCTGGATAACTTTAATTTATGTTCTTCTTATTTTAAGTACCTTTGATAATTTGAACATGTTTACTTATAGCTTTATTTATTATAAATCCTACTCCAAATGTACTATTCTTTTTATTTCCTTTATAATACAGTAGATTACCGGATTTTAGCTGTATTCGGTTTTTTTCTTTTCGTCGAGTTTCTGATAGGCCTATGGTATCCCATTTTATGTTTGTTACTTCTTCTTCCAGTTCATGTACTTTTTCATCCGTGGACATTGATCTAATATTGTATGTCCCTATTGACATGTTGACGGATTTTTTTTATTTATGTTATGCTCGTCTTAGTGAGTTTGTTTTTATCTATCAAAAGCGAATTATTGCCTCTCCCAGATACCTTTGAGGTGTGGGATTCAGAAATTTTCTGGTCCCCACTTGGGGACCATTTCCTTTTGTTTTATTATTCGCCTTGATAAAAGCGGGGGGTGGGTCATGGCAGTTAAAACACCACGCTTGCCAAGACGCTGTATCTATCTATGTGTGCGAAACATTTACATATATGTACTTATATAAAAGGCTAGGACGTCACACTGTTTGTCCAGTAGGGCAACTACGCCACCTAGGAAAGAAATCTGAACTACCAACATCTGACTTTCAATCATATTTTGTTTTGACACATAGTTGATTTATTGCTAAGAATTTTGATTAATGATGTATAATATATATTATACCTTAAAGCCGCTGGTTTAAAAATTGTTATTGTCATTGTTTATAAAGAAATAAAGGCTTTAGAAAATTTATAAAATAATATGCATTGTCTTTAAATGATTTAGAATTGTTCTTTGGCGTAAAACTTAGGCAATAAATTATAAATATATTCCTTGTGGTTCGCTTTTTAGCCGATAACTGGATTTTCCAGGGATTAATTTTGCGCTAGGGGGATATTGGGGAATTTCTGGGGATTAGTCAATATACCAATCAACAGCAATTATTTATCAATAAAATATATCTTAAGATTTTGGGATTTATTGGGATTGTACTTGAAATGTTTACACACAACTTTTTTTTAAACAATTTTTAGTAATGTTGAATATCTTGTTCATAATTTGAATAAAGAAAAACATATTTTTATTGCCTTTTAAGAAATTCACTAGGCTCATTTTGTTAACCGATTTTGTTTTTTTAACAATGGTTTAAAAGATTGTTTGCTCTTATATACTTAAAAAAAATCAGCGATTTGTGATAATTTTTCGAACAGTGGTAGATTTCAAAAATTAAATCAAAATTATTATTTACCGTATATATTTACACATGTTCACATATTTTTCTTTTCAGGTTGGTTCACGCCCCCAAAAGAAGATGGCTAAACCGATGATGGAGACGACCAACTTCTTATTTTTTTTTCTACATTTTCTGTGGGCGTAGAACGCATTGTTTCCAAAAAAATATCGCCCCTAAATAAACAGATTTCCCAAAATCGTCAAAATCGTTGTTCTTAGTGCCTGCGGAAATTTTCTTTTGTTCCTTGAAATATTACCGTAGTGGCAGGACTATTAGCGAGTTGTTTCATTAGAATGTGATTTTTTTTTATTCTTTTTCTGATTAGTTAAAAAATAATTTCTAAAAACGAAGCACGTTCGAGTGGAAAAAAATGACTGTGACTGTTTTAATCTTTGTAGACAAATCGTTATAGATTTTTCCTCGATACCAAATATTCAACTACTCTCGGCAATGTTCAAATCACAATAAGCTATATAAAAACGTGACTACAACAGTACACTTTTATTTCATTTTATGACTATGACAACATTTAAGCAATGGACTACCTAAGCTCTGACGTCACAATAGGAGGTTATTTTAAAAGCCTTTCCAAACATTTCTACTTTGTATGTATTTGTCCCATAAGAAGTTGGAAACATTGGTTTTTTAATCGTTTGAAGAATAAATAAGAACTTTTGGTTATGAACATTCATTCTTTGCGATTGGTATTACTTGTTCGTGAATTTGTGAGCTAAGAATATCGAAGTATTAAGATATTTACTATGAATGTTCATATTTTAAGGTTATGTTATTGTTTGATCAAAACTTTAATTACTTTTTACTGTATTTCAAGGAATTTTGTTGTGGTTTTTATCGGAGGTATTTCAAAATTAATCAATAAATCATTAAATTTATTTACAAAGTTAAAAAATACTTAATTAATGTTTTATTCTTTTTTGAGTGCTAGTGATTTTACCCCCTAAAAGACTAAATATATTCGTTTTCTCGTAGTTTAAATATTAATAGTAGTTTTGTTGTCATTACTGAAAAATTCAGTAATACTGGTTATTTTCAACACATGTTTAATAGCCATTATATATTCAGATCTAAAAAATAAACTCAAAAACTATTACAACATTCAAAAAACTATTTTTCAACACTTATGGCAATTTGATAGAAAGGATTCCACACAATGTTATATTACAACTTAAACTATGAGAAAACGAATATCTTTAGTTTTTTACAGGTTAAATCACGGGCAACGAAAAGAGAATAAATAATTTACATTTAAAAATAATTAAAGTTTTAATTCAACAATAACATAACCTTAAAATATAAAAAATTATAGTAAATATCTTAATACTTTGATATTCTTACCTCACAAATTCACGAAGAAAAATAATACCAATCGCACAGAATGAATGTCCTTAACCAAAAGTTCTTATTTATTCTTCACACAATTAAAAAATCAATATTTCCAACTTCGTATGGGACATATACACATAAATTGGAAATGTTTGGAAAAGTTTTTAAAAACTTCGCCCATTATGACATCAGACTTAAGTAGTCCATAGACTTGTTGATATCGGTTATACCAAAATTCATGTATATATTAATTTTCTTACTCGACTAGTTCTAGCAAATAAATTATTATCAATGAATTCGATAAAATCTTCAACGTTTCTTCCAATTGAAATGTGTATTTAATTTAATTTAAACCTGACGAAACGTCAGAAAGAACTATTTCCTGACTTTTATTGTAATATTTTTTGTTTTGGTATATTTTGTAACAATCTTTCACACAGAATGAACAGTTATCTAAACAGTTCATGCTTTAAACCACTCTCGAAGGAGAGTGATCCCAAACAAGTCCAGGTAATGTATGTTTTAATGTATATCGTCGTGTTTTTCTCTCTTTAAACGATTTATTTTTTTATCACCGCCGTGATTAGATAAACTTGTCTTAAAATTCAGACTTTCACATAAAACCAAACTTTAGTGTGCTATGACAATTACAAGGGTGGTAAACAAATAAATCCTTTAAAAAAGAATAACCAAGACAATATACAGTATTGTGCGAATTAATGTGAACGCAAGTGATAATTTGAAGTAAATAAAATTAGTCATAAACGAAGAAAAAAAGAATTTCATTTCCATTTGTAATAGTGCTTCTTTAGCTTTTATAACTTCATGAGTACCTTTTTGCTATAGAATCAACAATTTTTTACAGTTTTCTGATATTTGCCGATTCCTATTTATGGTGTACTATTTTATAAAGTTTGGGAATCTAGATTTTGCAATAGTCCACAGATTTTCAATCAGATTAAGATCCGGTTAGTTTTCTGGCTAATAAAGAAATGATATTTTTAATATTGAAATTCCTTAATTGCTTTGGACAGGTCATATGTATCCGAATCTTAATGAAATACTGATGGCCGTGGGTGTCAACTTTCCATAATTCAATTTCCAGTGTAGGTATGTTCTAGCAATTTTTTTTTTCGGTAAATTTATAAAAAAATATTTTTCAAATATTTAAAAGTTTGATTAATCTGACCCGTTATGAGCTTTTTATTGTCAAATATTATTTATAAAAAGAATACTGTACTGTTCTTCTACTACAGAGTAGCTCTCATCTGAGAATAACATTTTTTTGTACCTCCTGCAGTCTTCCTACCATATTTTCGTTTTCTGTTCACCTCAACCGTCCCAGTGTTTTAGGTTCACTCAAAGTAACATTAATGCGCGTTTTAGGGAGTAATCCTCAAGTACAACTGTAATCATTGTAAAAATAAATAACTGCAAGAGAAGCTTGATATGCGTCACTAATCTCTGACTGTTAGAACTTATCTCTACTCTGACTGACATACATGTGTTGTCACAACTAAAAAGAAATGTGGAAAATATGTGTTCACATTAATTCAGTTTACAATACTATGAAAATGTCTACCGCTTTAACTCGATGAAGACTCGACCGTAAATAAACTCGTGAATAAAACAAAGCATTTTTAGAAGTATACATCAGGAATTCGTTCGCAATTTTGTCAAGTCACCTTTATATTCGTATGTGTACAGTCCCAAAGTTTTTTCTGAGTAGGATCCTTGTATGTGTAATAAAAAAATCTCGTGAACAATTATCATTACCAATATGTTCAGCATTTAATAATTTTGTTGTTGAGCTGAATTTTGGTGGAAAAGACTTTATAAAAAATTAATTTCCTTACAAGTAAATCCCAACAAATTATTTAGCTGTGACTGTTGATAATTAAAATAATTTCCAAGTGACGTTCATATAATTTCAAAAATAATTGCCGATTGGAATCGAGGTAAAAATGATTTCCTTATTTAAAGGAAAGGGATCGAAAGTTCTCGTAGAGGTGTGCAATGGTTGTTTTGTTTTGGTATTGTAAAGTTGTGGGAAGGGAAAAGAGAGGTTTATATATCACAGTTTGTCCCGTTTTTGAACGAGCGATGATGAGATTTCGTACCCCTCACAATTTTGGATAACCCCGTTGGGTAGAAGAACTGATATTCTTTTCTTATTTAGTTGTTATAGGCTGCTGTATTGTAAATTAAAATAATAATAAAATCTCTTTGTAATAACTACCAATATGTTTACGTTTTTTTCATTCAACCCGTATGTACTTTACAAGAGTTTTTAAATTGCAAGTATAGGTGCTAGGATTAAACGATATCGTGCTTAAATTCTCAATTCGTGTGCTTACCGATGAAATCAACTAATTTAATACTTGAGAGTTTCTAGATACATTAACTTGTAGGTTTTTCGAGCATTCTGCTCAATAACTTGTTAAATTACAATAATGGTAAAAAATTGTTATACTAACAAAACTGTTAAACAAAAATACATTCAAAGTCCTAAACATAGCATGTTTATATGTTCTTCTAATGAAGAACCAAGCCTGTAATAAAAACAACAAATTATCAATTAGCACTCATATCTCGCTAGCGTTACCGTATGGTAACTCTTTAATATGAACATGTAAAGCCAACAAATTGAGAACCGTTGTATGATTCAAAATGTAACACAAAAGTTTTCGTATTTAGAAAGAGTTAAGTTACCTACGCAAGTATATGCAATAACATTCGTCAATTAAATGAGATCTGTAAGGATTTTAGTGCTGACCTGAACAATATTTACTTATATAAAGATGATTGCAACCGGTGCATTATGGCAGCTCTCGCCGTTGATGGATTAGTTGTCATTTTAAAAGTTTTATATTAGCACGTAATATTAGCTCTAATGTGATTTAAGACATATACTATGTTAAAGTACAACGAAAATGAGACTATGTGTAAATAAATTAATTATAAGGAAATAAATATTTCATTAATATCAATATTAAAATTACACAGAATGCGTAGAATTGAATTATTTTAAAAGATTCAAGGAAGATCTGTTGGCCGAAGGCAGACCGTTGAAGAATCTACGTGATTGGTACCAATGCAGATCGATTGATTTGTTTAGAGCAGAGATACATATTATTCACGAGTGTGAGGTCACATTTCTAACGGCTCTATTAACAGATTTTTTACATCATTTGCTTTGAAAGTAATATTGTTCCTTGCTACTTCCTTTTTTATTTGTACCTATATAAGTTCAATCGGGTTTATCTCCCAAGGGTATGGCGGCAAGCGAAATTCAATTACGCTTAGTTCTCGCGCCGTTTCATCTACTGCGTATTTAATATATTTATCTTTATAACATCGTGCCAAGTTTAATAATTCGATTTTTAAAATTGTTTCATTGAATTTAATATATTTTTTTAGTAATTCAATCCACCATCTCGGCTTTTCGCCATTTAGTGGTTGGTAACTGTTCTACACACCGGCAGTGATATTATCCATAACAATAACAGATACTGGTTCGAATTTTAAAAGAGTATTTGAAAACCATTTTTCATAATCTCTGCATCCATTTCCACATGGTAATCTCCAGTCTTTTTAAACACAACTGTATTTAAACCTTCACCACTGCAGATAACTTCAAAGTTGAATCATACACACTGACAACGTTACATTTTTCCTACAACCCAAATCTTTGCCAAAACATTTGAAAAGTTTAAAAAGTAGACCATTGAATTGTATTTCTTTTAACATGAGATCTCTTCTATCTGAACGTACATTCTTTGATAAGTCAGAAGAAGGTTTGGTCTCCTTTTCGATCGAGTTTTCTTGTAAATGAATATCGCGGTCGA